TATATATATATATATATGGTCTAAACATTATAAATCAAACAATATACCCATATGTGTACTTATTTTGATTTGCCAAAAAAATTTGCATTAAATATCAAAACATGACACAAATGAAGTATGTTACTTCAAAATATATTATTTGCTACAACAAAACAAGATTATAGACGGTTTAGAGTTAAGATATGAAGCAATACACCGATTTGTACACTCATTTTACTTTATCAAGGCAGGTTTAATAAATAGTGATAAGTGGAATAAATGAAGTTTATCAGACCAAAATAGATTGTTTATATTAACAAATAATGATTACATGTGATTAAACAATGCAATATGAAGTAATACACCCATTTGTACACTCATTCTATTTTTCCAAGAGAAGGTAAATAAAACAAAGTAGATTAAATTAAGTTTATCACACCAAAATCTATTATTTAAAACATTAAAAAAATGATTAAATATGATTCAAAGATGAGATATGAAGTAATATACCATTTGTACACCTATTCTATTTTACTAAAAGAAGTTGAATAAAATATAATAAATAGAATAAATGAAACTAATTAGATTAAAATATTTTATTCATAACAACAAAAAATGATTACATATAGTGCAAAAATGAGATATAAAACAATACAACCATCTGTACACCCATTCTACTTTGCCAAAAGAAGTTGAACAAAACAATAATAAGTTGAATAAAAAAATCTTATCACAATAATTGTAATTATCTATAATAACAAAATATGATTGCATATGGTTCAATAATGAGTTATGAAGCAATACACTCATTTGTACACCCATCCTACTTTACTAAGAAAAGTTGAATAAAGCAACAATAAGTGAAATAAATGAAACTTAACAAATTAAACTATATTGTTTATAACAAGAAAACATGATTCCATTATCGGCGCTATTTTTACTTGGAGGAGTTGCCCGTAAGAAGTTGACGGTCACCGGAATCGAAATTTCGTCGCCCGCTTCGGAAGGACATTTTAATTTACATATATATTTAGTTTTAGAAAAATATGAAATCAAACTGACCTCATATTTTTCATAGTTTAAATGAAAGAGGGTTGTACCTCAAACCATATATATATCCCGAAGGATAAACACAAGACTTGAGAATAAGACTCGATCAAATAAACTAAGGAATATATAGCATCTGTTTGGTCTGCGAAACCTTTGTATTTACCGAAAAGTTCTCCTATTTAATATAAAGAATTAAATAGGATTTATATTAAGCTGGCTTCAGACATGCTTCCTATAAGGGCAAGCCCCTATAGTTAATTACATCTTAAATGACCAAAGTCACTTAAGAAGGCTCTCAATAAAAATCAGGAAATATTATCTTCAAGTAGTTTCAAATGA